AACCACGACAGCCTCATCAAAGGGGAAAAAAAAGGAACCACCGCACAGATCACAACAACGTCGACTTGCGATTTCTTCGACGACGGCGTCTCCACCAACACCAACCAGCCACTATGACCCCGTCACCTGAGATAAGGAAGACAGAGAGAAGGATGTCATTGGAATGAGAAAGAAGCAGCGTTGGCCGGCCTTGCGAGCCTTCGACGACGGCGTCGCCACCAACCAGCCACCACAACCACGACCCTGCCGCCTCTTCCACGCTGCCGGAGATAAGGAAGAGAGAGAGTGTCGAATTTTGGTTTGGGTACCGTCGCGAGAGAGAGTAGGGATTTAAAATAGTTTGATTCAGGATGAAATTTTATGATTAATATTTAATTAAATCTGTATATATAAACCACGACAGCCTCATCAAAGGGGGAAAAAAAAGGAACCACTGCACAGATCACAACAGCGTCGACTTGCGATTTCTTCGACGACGGCGTCTCCACCAACACCAACCAGCCACTATGACCCCGTCACCTGAGATAAGGAAGAGAGAGAGAAGGATGTCATTGGAATGAGAAAGAAGCAGCGTTGGCCGGCCTTGCGAGCCTTCGAAGACGGCGTTGCCACCAACCAGCCACCACAACCACGACCCTGCCGCCTCTTCCACGCTGCCGGAGATAAGGAAGAGAGAGTGTGTCGAATTTTGGTTTGGGTATCGTCGCGAGAGAGAGTAGGGATTCAAAATAGTTTGATTCAGGATGAAATTTTATGATTAATATTTAATTAAATCTGTATATATATAATACATATATAATTATGTTGTATCTAATTAAAAAATATCTAATTTTTGAAAATTAAAACATGAAATCTGATTTTAGAATTTGGATCTCCAAAAGTAGGGAATTAGGTAATTTGCCCAATAATATATTATTCATGCATATTTAATTATAAACACAAGAAATAACTAAAATACGATGAGTCTTGAATTAGAAATATAAATCAAAAGATTGTCATCTATCTCAAATATATAAAAGTGTTTAGCATAGTATTATCATAGCGAAATTACAGAAAATATAGAAACAACATCACCCGAGGTAAATAATACGATAAAGAACTTGGGAACTCAAAAACTTCACTTTAAACTTCGACCGAGCTATCGAATTTCACTTCTTGATGTCTACTTTCTTCTTGCAAGCTCAAAGTATGATAAAAACTCTATAAAATCTATTTTGGACGGCCATTAGGTCTTAAAAGGTGTAAAAGACATCATTCCATAATCAATTGGACAAAATAAGGAAATTAGAAATTTTCCTTTAGAGATGAACCATGCATACCCATAATAGGCTATCATTAGGCTCAGTCGAGCCATCTAAAGGCTTTGCGTACTCTGGACCAGCAGGCCTATGCATATACATGGCTTCAGCTTGTAGGCCAAATTTTGCAATTTTGTCCTTGAACTTTGATTTTCTTGCAATTTAGTCTTATTTTCGTCGTTTTTCCTCCATTTTCACATTTTCATCGATTGTTACCTAATAAACATAATTCGAATCAAATTAAGCTATTATTAGTTAAAATTTCCAACGAATACTCTAATTCCAATGCCTAATTAAGAATATAAAATACACTTATTAATTAATCCAAACAAATTTTCAAGCAAAGTGAAATTTTGTACAAGCTACAAAAGTTCAATCATTCTACATGTATATCATCTTTTACATTATGTCACCGACAACACACTATTGGACAATTTTAAAAAGTAAACAATTTTCTCTATAATCATCTTTTAACACCATGTCAAATGTCGACAAGAATGTACACTTGAAGTGTATTGCTGAAAAAGGTTTTAAGAACTCTACGCAGAAACTTAAGAGCCATTAGTACAAAACTTCGTAATATGCAATACTATGTGAGTGTTTGGTGGGGATTAAAATTAAATTTTTAGTAAATTCTGATAGAAGTTTTTGAAATATGTGTTTGAAAAGTTGTGAGACCCATGAAAAATGTGGTTAATATTGATTATTTGATTTTGATTTAGATTAAAATCTGATTTTAATTCGAAACGAACATGACCATAGTATTCAAACGAGGGCAGCCCACACAAAAAAGCATAGGCTCTACCCCATCTAATCACATCTCGTTCAGCAATAAAATAACGAAATAGAAAAAATAAATAAAGTTAAACCCTAAAAAAAAAAAATATATTTCTCTCTCCACCTTTGTCTCTTGTCACCTCACTTTCTCACTTTCCTCGCCCAAGATTTTGCGCCCCCCGCCTCCCCCCCCACGCCTCCCCCCTCCCCTGTCTCTATATATGCAAACACGCATATATGCACCCTTCTTCTTGAAACCCTAAACGCATCCCTAGAAATTATTGCTTGGTTCAGTTGTTACAGTGGCTGATATATTTGGATGAGATTAAGGAGAGGAGAAGGAAGCAAAAAGATTTGTTGCAGTAGTAGTAGTTATGCCGCCGGAGCCATTGCCGCCTTGGGAACGGAGAGACTTTCGGAAGCACGACCCCCGCCTTGGTGAAGGATACGTGGGCGGCGGCGGCCCTCCTAGATGGAGAGACCAGCACCACCCTCATCCGCCGCCTTTTCACTCGCTGACGTCACATCCCTACCATCTTCAGCAGCGCTGGTACTCCGATTTCCGCTCCCGCCCACAACCCCCTGGTGTGTAATTAATCTATTTTCCTTTTGATTTTTTTCCTTGGTAACAATATCCGTTTAAAAAATTAGATTTTTATAAAAATTAAGCTAAAGCTAGATTTTTTCCCTTTAAAGCTCTTTTTTTTTTCTTTTTCTTTTTGATAATATAAAAGTTCTATTTTATAATTTCTGGTAGCCTGGGGAAGTTATAATTCATATGTAACTTCTTAAAATGGTAGTGGAGACTGGGTTTATGGGCAGATCTGTTGTTCTGAAAGTAAGAATAGACGTAGTTTATTGTTCTTTAGTCAATTATAGATGTGTCGATTTATGGTTACCTTGTTTTTTTCCTGTCTATTTTCGATTTGTGAAATAATTTAATGGAAGAATTGTACTTTGATGCTGTGATTTTTATTGAGGATAATTTTTTTTCTTGCATTGATTTGTTTTCTTCTTCTTCTTTTTGAATGTTTTCTGCTGCAGGTCACGGTAAGCAGGGGAGCTGGCACATGTATGCTGAAGAGTCTCATCATGGGGTTCTGCCATTTGGGTCTTGGTTTGGTGACATGAAGTTAGATGACGGGAATTATAGGCCTTTTGTGTCTCGTGGTGATGAAAGGTATTTCAGAAATAGCAGGGGAAATAGGGGTTCTGGTAGTCAGAAAAGGAAAAGTAACTCTTCGGAACCTGCTTCATCTTCGGCTGTGTCCAGTAGACCCGCCAATTATGTGAACAGGCAGAAGTCTGAAGAGAATTTGCGAACACACAGCAGCAACAATAGTAACAACAACTCCCGTCCTCTTCCTGACTCTGTGAACTCATTGGCTGAAAATCCATCTCTTATGAAAGATCGGCATGATAAGAAGGGTGACAATGTTGATGCTTCAGCCAGCATGTTTCAGAATGTAGAGAAAGAGGACTCGGTGGTGTCAATAGATTGGAAGCCTCTGAAATGGAATCGGTCAGGTAGCTTGTCTTCCAAGGGGTCTGGTTTCAGCCATTCAAGTAGCTCCAAGAGTGTTGGAGCCTACTCCAATGAGACTCTGGTGGAGGTGCAGCTGAAGAATGTGATGTCTGTTCAGTCTCCTTCTGGGGATGCTGCTGCTTGCGTGGCATCCACTGCTCCAGCTTTATCTGAAGAGTCTAATTTAAGGAAGAAGCCACGCCTTGGCTGGGGCGAGGGATTGGCAAAATATGAGAAGAAGAAAGTTGACGGCCCTGAAGATGGTACAACCAAAAATGGATTGGTCATTATTGTTAACAATACAGAACTTCTGCAGTCTCATTCCATCAACCTGGTAGATAAGAGTCCTAGAGCTGCATGTTTATCAGATTTTGTCTCCCCTGCTACGCCATCTTCGGTTGCTTGTAGTTCATCACCAGGTATTTTTGTTGCTCTTCTTAGGCACCTTAACTTTCTCACCTTATTGAACTGTACTTATCTACACTTTCTTTCTTCTCTACTACCCAAAAAAGAAGAAAAAGACGGAAAGGTGTCTAGTCTAAGAAATAAAAGAGGCATTTAATGTGTGTAAAACCTGTGGTGAAGATAAAGAAACTGTTGGGTGTGAAGTTACAAACCAATTAAGATGCAATTATTATGACCCAAGTTGAAGGTAATGAGGTGTTGTCACACTGTACTACTAGTTAGAGTTGATTATAATAGTTCTCTCCTTGATTGGAGTATGATTATTTTTCCTTTCTTATATATTTTGGGATTTATTGTTTCATTGATTTTGATGCAACTTGTTCGTGTGATTTAATTAATTTGATACAAATGGAATGATCTATGGTTTTATAAGTGCCCGAGGCTTATCCTTGAGGTGCACTTCATGTGAAGCGTTCATAGTTTGAGTACCATTTGTCAAGGCATACTCCCAGTGGCAAAGCTATGATTTTAGTTTTGGGGGGCCTATTACGGTCGACGGCCGAGGTGTCGCTATAGCCAGCAAAGAGAGAGACAGTTGATGAAATCAACAAAGTTACTTATTTTGTCCTAAAACTTTGTTAAGAAAACATAAAAGTAATTGAAGTACCGTAAATAAAAATGCAAATAAAATAGCAAAGAAAATAAAAGAAGGGAATCAACAATATTTTATGTAAAAAAATCTGAGCTTTGATTATACAGAACTTAAATAATTGAAAAAATTGAAAAAAATGGAAATTATAATTTTCCTGTACATAAATATGAAAATAAAGCCAAAAAGAATCCAAAAAATTCATCCACAATATATAAATGAAAAAACACATTATGCTTAAGTTAGCTAAAAATAAATTAAAAAACTCACCATCATTACCAGGGTTGTCTACCACGAACATTTTGCAAAACTTTCTTAGCAAATGGCCGTACATTCAAAAAAAATTTGAAAATATTTGTGTGCATAAAAAAGGAAAATTTTTTCTTTTCATATCAATGAATTAAATACTTAGGTCTGCAAGATTATGTTTGATGTTAAATATAGCATCTTGTGAACTTTTGTCAAAGTTATCTTGAGCATCTCGCACAAGGAATATTTGATGCTGAAGTTAACAGAATTATAAAAAAGGATGAAAAGCAATTGTAACTTAAGGTTGCAGACTGGGAGGTCTGATTTTAAAGGTTGAGATGAGTATTCTGGAAGTGCAAAAGGTTAGGGATGTACTAATTTTTCAATGGAAAAGGAAAAAGATAAGAATGTGGCTAGTAGGACTCGAACCCAATAAAATAGAAACATTGAGCTTTTACGTCCAGGCTATAACCATATTCTATTTAATCTGCTAAAGTTAATGATTTTATTGTTGTTTTCATATATAAAAAAAATTTAAAAAACTCGGAGAACTTGGGTTCCGGGACCCCTGGTTCTGCCCTGCTTATGCCTTGACTTACTGAGGTGAGGGGGTAAGCTTCAGGAGGGCCAAGTCTTGCACTCCTCAGCTTTACATTTTTTGATTGTTTTAAATACAATAGAACCCTAAAAGTGGTAATTGGAGTTAAAGAAGGGAACAAGTGCAGAGCCCATGGGTGGTCTAGTCCTTTATTCCTACAACTGAAGTGCAATCTTGCCTGCCCAGTGAAGTTGCAACTTTTTGGCAGCAGATGGCTTATTACTGGGACCTCCTATGTGTAACTTCAGTCTTCTTCTATATGTTTTCTATTTTTCTTGCTTTTTTCTGCTTTTGTTTTGTTTCGTTTCAACTAGGTTTCTTTCGCTTTAAAGTCCAAGCTGAGAAAGTTCATAAATGGTTCGTTAATTTTTTTCTTTTTTAAATTTTAGTTTTAATTGTGGATTAAATTGGGGATGAAACAAAGCTTTAGTAGGCGACACCCTTGCGGATGCCTTTTCAACATTCTGTTTGGTTGATGCTACAGGTTTCTTATGGTCTTGATATGTGATTTTTACTTTTGTTAAATTTACTATTAGCTACACGAAACCTCACATTCATATATGAAAGCTTAGGAGCTTGAACTTGGGGATGAACCTAAGCTTTAGTAGGCGACTCCCTTGCTGATGCCTTTTCATAATTCTGTTTGGTTGATGCTACAGGTTTCTTATGGTCTTGATATGTGATTTTTACTTTTGTTAAATTTACTATTAGCTACTTTGATAATCCATCTTATATTTCTAGTTTTAAAATTTGATTTTTAATTTCATTGAATGTTACATTATTTATTTTTTAGATGGTATGGTTTATCACGAGTATGATTTTGTACTAATACAAAATAAGGTTAGTGACTGATTGTATCATCAACAGTGTTACTTTTCAACGATGTCTCATTTGAAGTTTTCTTTGTCCTGTATTAATATGACAGGTATCGAGGAGAAACAATCCATCAAGGCAGCAAATGTTGATCATGATTCAACTAATTTAAACCATTCACCAAGGATTGTGCCCCAGACTTACTCCAAAGGACCAATTTTTAATTTAGAAAACTTGGAGCCTGCATCTATTTCTAATTTAAGCTCTTTGATTAATGATTTATTACAATCTGATGATCAAAGTTCAGAAAATACTAGCTTTGTGAAATCTACTGCTATGAATAAGTTGTTGGTGTGGAAAGTTAACATGTTAAAAGCTGTTGAGATGACTGAAACTGAGATCGATTTACTTGAAACTGAACTGAATTCATTGTTATATGAACCTAAAAATTTCTCTCCTTATCCAACGGAGTCAAATTCACTGCCAGGAGAGGGACACTTTGAACCTTGTGGAGACCAAGTTGCTGTTTCATCCGGAGACATGATTGTAGAGAATACACCCATTGTACTGGAAGACGAGCACGCTGAGTTGAAAGACGAGGATATGTATAGTCCAGATAGTGCCACATCTAAGTTTGTTGAGGCACCATCCTTTGTGGAGGATGTTTCACCGTCTGATACAGGAGAACTTAGAGAAGGGTTTATGAATTCTGAGGTTATTAATTCTAGAAACCTGGAAGTGGAATGCATAGAGAATGGACTCAAAGATGAAACAATGGAAGGTCATGCAGATGATTCTGGACCAATCATGAGTAGTAATTGTCCAACCTTTTCAAGTGGTTGCAACTTGTCTTGTGGCAGAGAGGAGATTTATGATCTTATACTTGCTTCCAACAAAGATTCTGCAAATAGGGCTTCAGAAGTGCTAAATATGTTGTTGCCTGCCAATCAGTGTAAATTTGGTGTTTCAACTAATGCTAGTGTTTCTTATTTGCAAAGTGATCCCCCCATGATCGTGAAGAAGAAGTTTCTAAAGAGGAAGCGATTTTTACAGTTTAAGGAGAAAGTAATAACCCTCAAACATAAGGTGCTTGAGCGTATGTGGAAGGACGATCTTTATGTTACTGCAAGGAAAATTCCTAAGTCTCACAAGAAGTTATATCCAAGGAGGTATCGTCCCTCCAGTGGATCTCAATCTTCATCTCCTGGTAAGTTATTGTTAGCTTTGTATCTTTTGCATGTCTTCCTTACCTCCTCTCTGATGGTGATACTACGTCATCTTATTTGCTTGGCATTGATGAAGAGATATTTCTGCTTCCATAATCTAGCATCCTCACCATCCTGACCCCTAGTTGAAGCATAAATGTAAGGTTGTATGGCTACCTTCTTTGTTGAACTTTGTTTAGCTGATTGGTATAATAGTTCGCTAATGTTCATTTGTTGATAATTTGGTATATACAGGAATGGTTTCTGTTCTAACAAATTGCAAACCTATGAGTCGACTACTCATTTTAATTGCATTCATGAAATAGGAAAATAATGTCTGATCTAGAGTTTTGATCTTTCCCATTTTTGTTTTCCCCTTCTATTGACGTAAGATTTCCCTTTAAGCTATTACCACTTGTGCTTTTGAGAAGATGTAGTCCCGGTCAAGAGCAATCTTTTTAAGTTAGCTCCATTTTGTGAACTGTATAATGCGTAAACTAAATTTTAAATTTGACCCATTTTAGGAACATATAAATAATACTTCTCATTTTAATTTATTTTGGTTAAGATTATGTAGTGTGAAAGATATTAGGTTTCTGGTAATAGTATTTTAGTTCTGCATGGTATTTAGAGCAGTTTTCTGTCTTGTTATTCGAACTCTGGAATTGGTGTTTGACACGGGTACTGCTCGAATTGTCAAAATTTAGAACAGATATTTCAGTCTAAAGTTGTCTGGACGTGTCCAAGGACATACCATTAATAACAGTACTTACATTTCTTGGGACCTGTATTTGGTGCTGAGGGGTCGTGTTTCTAAATGTTCCAATATGTGTTGAATTGTGTTGGTGCCTTCACGTTGGATAGTGATATAGAATAGTCAACTGAATTTTTTTAGTAACATGTTTTTTGGATATTAAATTAAGTGTATCTAGTTCTGGCCATTTGATTTTTGTTGTTGCTTTATCCTGTTTTGGAAAAGTTGAGATAAATCTAGTTGTATTTGCAGTCATTACTTGAGGTGGTAAGGGTAACGTTTGTACCAGCAAAATGTGTGTGCTAATGCATTCGCACGCACGCGTGAGAGAGAGAGAGAGAGAGAGAGAGAGAGAGAGCTGGGGGGGGGGGTGGGGGCTTGAAATCTTGCAATAGGTATGCCATTATAAGTTGAAGAGCAAACTTGATCTATGAACTATTTATTCTGGCATATGACCTACAAAAGTGCTTATAGTCATTACTCCAAATTCTGTATTATAGGTGTTTTTTGAGTCTCTATGTGCAATTGTGTGCTAGTTGTTTCTACATTCATTAGACTGAAAGGCTCTTTAATAAACATTTTTGATAGGAAATTTTTGAGAATCTTATATACATCTACTTTCCAAACTCAGTTTTTAATCTTCAGAGCTGCCAGAACTATTGGTGGTGTGTTGCAAACCCAAATTCGAGTCTTTATGTTGATGGATCTTCTGAGATGCCTAGAGTTCTTTTCCTATCACTCTATTTTTGATGCATATTTTTCAAAAAAATCTGGCTCCTTAAGTTTATCAATGTAGCTCATTGTATTTTATTGTTGACACTTAGGCTTAGCTGCTTCATGGATTTCCATGTCCACTATTTCTTCTTTTCTTTTGTTTTCTTCGTGCTCTAACCTGAAATCAGTTTTTTGCCACTCATTAATCTAATAAAACCCAACAAGTTCCCATGCTTTGCCTTTGAGAGTGACAAACTTTTGACTGAATAATCTTCCCTTGAGGGATTCCTTGCATTATATAGGAAGAGTATTACCTTATAAAACTATGGTATTGTAATCAACCTAAATATGGTAAATACAATTATATACATAATCTTCGTGATCTTCGTGATCTTCGTCAATCTCCATGATAAGTCATAATCTTCGTGATCTTCGTCATCTTCATGATCTTTATCGATCTTATTGACAGAATGATTCCATAATTGGATATTTAATCCCGTTCGGTCACCATCATGGTATTGATGCCTCTGTCTAGGATGTGTCACTACGTAATCTGCTTGTTCTGAGATGCTAGTGATCTGCTCCTATTCTTATTTTGCTAGTCTGGCTTTAAAATTTTATATCAAGCTCATATGCCTTATTATTGATTTATTTGCATAGCCTATTCCTTTCCACTGTATCTAATCAAAACCATCAAAATCCCACTTTATTGTCTGCCTAAGCATAGATAATTAATTCCTGTTCTCAGTCTATGTCATGTTATTGACATCAAGTGTGATTTCAATTGAGGCAGTTCTGATTGTCCCCATGTTTGCTGTTTAATGCAACATTTTTTTCTGCATAGGAAACTGACTACTGATATTATGAAGTAGAAACTGATATGACAAACTGGAGCACACAAAACATGTATTCTGGCATTTTATTTATTTATTCATGAACTGAATGAAAATAGTTTGTTAGCTGCTGTATCCTTGTTGTCTTGTGTATACTCGAGAACTGATACTAGGATGAGCATATAACTAGTCAGTATGAGTCTCATGAAGGTGATAAGTTTTATTTACAAAGGTGTTATACACCTTTAGGCTGCCTGAAAGAGGTGATTAGGATAATTAGATCTTTTGTTGTTTATGCCTTTAAATTGCATGAAAGACGGAGTTGATTGGTATCATTTATATCTTTTATTGGCTGGTTTATGCATTCAGAAAAATGATTAATGTTCGTGAATCTGACCTGATTACTTCAAGGCTGGCATATGTGATATTTCCTGGTGATGATTCATGTCAAGCGAATAGTTTTATGTGCAACTTCTTTATTGGGTTCTTTATTGGGTTCAACAATAATTTGTAAGGTGCACAGGTATTTTTGTTCTTGCTAGTACTGTTCTTGATGATATTCATTTATACATCCGTTCGTCATTCTGCATGAATATATTTGTCCACATTTTGACTTTTGTTGCCTGTGTACCTCTTTCGTATGTTTACCTTCAATTTTAATATTTGATGGTATACAATATTGGTTTTGCATTGTTAAAACTATCCTAAAATTCTGTGTACTCTTAATGTCTGTGTAGCGAAGAATCTGTGCTTGGTGCCTACAGAAGAAGTAATTGATTTTGCACGGGCATTGCTTTCGAATTTTCAGGTCAAAATCCACAGGAGTACATTGAATATGCCTGCTTTAATATTGGACAAGAAGGAGAAGGTGGTATCGAGGTTTATCTCGACTAATGGTTTGGTGGAAGATCCTTGTGCTATTGAGAAAGAAAGATCTTTTATCAACCCTTGGACATCTGAAGAGAGGAAAATTTTCATGGATAAGCTTGCTTCCTTCGGGAAAGATTTCCGCAAGATCGCATGTTTCCTGGATCACAAAACAACAGCAGATTGCATTGAGTTTTACTACAAGAATCACAAGTCGGATTGTTTTGAGAAAGCACCAAAGAATCCTGACTTTCTGAAGCAAAGAAAGTCCCAACCTACTAACACATACTTGGTTGCATCAAGGAAAAGATGGAATCACGAATCTAATGCAGCTTCCCTTGATATATTGGGTTCAGCTTCAGAAATTGCAGCTAATGTAGATTACGGCTTGGAGATTCAGGAGAAGTGCACATCTACTTTCTTTTCAGGTGCGTCTAGTGCTCACAAAGAACCGAGGGATGATGATAATTCGTTGGAAAGATCGAGCGGTCTTGATATCTATCATAATGAGAGAGAAACTTTTGCTGCTGATGTGTTAGCCAGTATCTGTGGTTCCCTATCATCTGAAGTTATGAGTTCTTGCATTACAAGTTCTGTTGACCTAGGAGAAGCCCATCAAGATTGGAGGTATCTGAGGGTGGGTTCTTCCACGAAGTGTTCTTTTACCCCTGAGGTTACACAGAATGTTGATGATGAGAGCTCAGATGAAAGCTGTGGCGAGATGGATCGTACTGCTTGGTCTGATGAAGAGAAAGCCCTCCTTATTCAGGCTGTATCGTGTTATGGCAAGGATTTTACAATGATATCACGATGTGTCAGATCAAGATCCAGGGATCAGTGCAAGGTCTTTTACAGCAAGGCCAGTAGGATTCTTGGATTGGATCTGATTCAGCCTGGACTGTGCAATGCAATGCCTTATGATGTTCATGGAGATGGAAGTGACACTGAAGATGCTTGTGATGTGGAGACTGGCTCTGTTAATTGCAGTGAGAGATCGGGATGTAAGATGGAAGATGACTTTTCATCGCCTGATATAAAGTCGAGTCTTGAATCCAATTTAGTAGGAACATTGAGTTTGAAGCCTGATCTTGACAAATCTGAGGATAATAGTGGAACAAGTTCTCTTGATTCTATGGATATTGAACCTTTGTTGGAGAATTCGATGCCTGATGGTTGTCAGGTGGATGATATGCTAGATTTAGACATTGATGTGGACACCCATGGTCGAAATGGTGCTAATAGTGCGTGTGTACATGTGCCTGTTGTATCCTCTGATGTAGAAGTTAATCCAGTTGTTGAAGAGGTAGATGACTGTGGACTGCCCAATGGATCAAGTGAGGATGAGAGTACTTCTTTGGTCAATGCTTCAGATGGATACTCTAGAGCTGGAAACAAAGGACAAGAGCTTCTACCTAAAGAAAGTTCGGATAGTAGGGAAGTCAAAAATGGATATGGTAGTCCCAACGAAGTTAGTGGCCTGAGCTTCTCAACAAGAGATGTGACATCGGAGCACCAGCTGGCTGCTGGGAATGCTTCTCATATTTCTGCTGATGCGCATTCCTCTACACAATTAGATATTTTATCTGGAAGTAAAAAGAAGGTTGATAACTGTTCTGCAGAAAAGTCTCGTGTCAACTCATTGCAGCAGAAGGATCAAGTATCGATCAAGGTATCACCACAATTTTCTGCTCCAACTAAATATCAGAAATTTTATGATCATAATATTTCTTTTGCCATTGATGCTAATGTGATTGATGATAAACAGTGTCGGCAATTTTTTCGGACAGGGGAACATCACCAGAATATTTCAAGTCAGTCATTGTCAGACCATGTTAAATCTTCCCATATTCTCAGGGGTTATCCACTTTCAGTGTCAACTTCGAAGGATATAAATAGGGAAACCGATTGCAATAGCCCAGTTTCACGTCAAAGTGTCTCCAAGTCAGATGAAAATTTCTATTTGGACAGGCATTTGGATCTCTCTCTTCAAAAGTGCAATGGGTCAAGACATCAAAGTTCAATTGCCGAGTCCCTATTTCTATCCCAAGAACAGACCAGGGTTCATTCTAGACCCCACTCAGGTAGTTTACTTAATGTGGATAAACCTTGCAGGAATGGTGATTTAAAATTGTTTGGTAAAATTTTAATCTCCTCCGAAAAATCAAATTCTGGTACGCAACGGACTGCTAATAACAACATTCAACATCATAGAGAAGGAAGCCAGTCATTGAACTTGAAACGCAATGGTGACCAGAGGTTCAACTTTGATTCACCTCAACAGAAGTTTGATTGTAGTAACAATCTGGGATCTGAGAATATTCCTGTCATGAATTTTGGTTTCTGGGATGGGAACAGGATGCAGACTGGGTTCCCTCTGCCAGATTCTGCTCTGTTGTTGGCAAAGTATCCTGCTGCATTTAGTAACTATGCCATGTCACAAAAATTGGAGCCTCCAAGGCTACATGGAGGTGTCTCTGGTATCCCAAGCAGAGAACTAAGTAGCATCAATGGAGTGGTAGATTATCAGGTGTTGTTGAGTCGACGGCAAGTGCAGCCTTTTACCATAGATAAGAAGCAGCCACAAGACGTATTTCTCTCTGAGATGCAAAGACAAAATGGCTTTGATGTTGTCTCAGGTATGCAAAAGCAAGGTCAAGGGATGGTCAGAACTAGTGCTGTTAGCAGTGGGGCTTTTGTTGGAGGCCAGTGGACTGGTGTTTCAGATCCCGTGGCAGCCTTCAAAATGCACTATGCTAAAACTGAGCAATTCAGCGTGCAGGCTGGGAACATCGTCAGAGAGGAGGACGATTCATGGAGAAATAAAGGGGATTTAGGCAGCTAAATCTTTTATTGTCATGTTGTATAATATTGTTTCTGTATTTCAATTTAGCATCAATAGGTCTTATAATGTTTGGGTTTTGTATTTGTTGTATTTGACCGAAATACAGAAATAATGTTCGAAAGATTGGGGGTTGAAATTTCTGTTTCTGATGCTGCAAGAAGTCATCTTATTCTTTTTAACAGTCATGTTACTTGTAACGTTAATCTTTTATTTAAATTTGTTTTTCTTGGCATGACACAAGCAATGCTACAAACATGTCAACATTGACCTCGAAGTTGGACGGACACTAGTCCTTACGACGTTACTATTATTTTTTAAAACTATGTCTTACTTGGCATGACAGAAACAATGCAACAAACATGTCAAAATTCTTACAACACTAGCATGCTTAAATTCGAGGGGATCATCACTGTTGATTCAAGAATTTCATGTATAACATCACAAGAAAAAATTTAGACTCATGCATAAAAAATTGATAAGCAATACTATTATGTGCGTAGCCAATGAATATACAATCTCCAGCTTTCGGGTCNACTCATAAGTATTTGTTGGAAGACTTTCTTCATTTCCATAACTCATAAAGAGTCTTTTCCGTTTTCTTTCAGAGCACCTTATTTAAAAGATAATTTGTTGATAACACGGCTTCCCCCACATGTCATGAGGTAATCCATAACTTATTAACATTGCGTTAATCGTTTCTTTTAAGGTATGATTCTTCCATTCAATAACATCATTTTGCTGCGATGAATAAGGTGCATTGATTTCATGTATAATTTCGTGTTGTGCACATAATTCAACAAATGAAACTTACTCACCACCTTGATCACTTATCAATACTTTAATTTTCTTATTAAGTTGATTTTCAATTTTATTTTTATAAAGAATAAATTTTTTTAGTCCTTACTTTTAAGCAAATACACATATCAGTATTTTTTGTTATCGTCAACAAAAGTAATAAAGCACTTGTTGTCACCTCTTATTTGTAAAAAATTTAAATCACATGTCATTGTGAATTAAATCAAGTGGTTTTGTACTTCATTCAATTGATTTAAAAGATGATCTTGTAATTTTACCTTAACACAACTTTCGCACTTATGTTTAGAATCAATATGGAACGTAGATATGCAATTCATATTAACTAATATACGTAAAGTATCATAGTTAACATGTCTTAATCTACCATACCACAAACTGGAAGACTCAAGCAAGTAAACGAAGAATTAACTTTATTAATTTTTAACTTCACAACAATTATGTTCAATTTAAACATATCGTCGGAAACATAATCTTTCCGACAAACATTCCACTCTCAGACAAAATAACTTTATATGACTTATGGAAATCATGACACAAACACAAAGTTCTTGCAGATTTTCGACATATATAGCACATTGTTAAGAGTCATATCTTTCCCCGAAGTCATCTTCAGAACCATATTTCCTTGACCCTTGATTTCAGAAGTTGCTGAATTTCTCATGAACAATTTCTCTCTATTCTCAATTGCTTCGAACACAGTAAACATCTATTTATTGGAGCTCGTATGACTTATAGCACAAGTGTTGATCCGCCACTCTTTTGGGTTTGAACCCACCATATTCACTTCAAAAATGACGGCTGCAAGATTTATCTTCGACACATCATGTGCCATGTAGTCAACCACATTTGTTTATTTCTTCTTCGTTGGTAGTCTGCACTCTGAAAACTTATGACCCACTTTGTCACAATTGAAGCATTTTCCTTGAAATTTCTTTTAGAAATTACACTTTTCGATCCCAACTTGGTCCATTTGCCATCAAATGGCCCAGGTTTGTTCTTATAGGTCTTCGAACTTTGACCATACTCAACAACATTGGATTTAGTCACAACAAGATTGAACCCCTTCTTTTCTAACCTTTAATTGTTTTCTTCGATTCGAAGTCTAACAATCACTTCTTCAATGATAATTTCTTTTCACTTGTGCTTTAGGTAATTTTTTGAAATCCTTCCAAGCCAGAGATAGCTTTTCAAAGATTGCAGTCACTTAAAAAGTTTCACTTAAATTCATCCCCTCAACGTGAATTTCCACTTAGAGCTCCCACACTTGACTGATTACTGTTATGGAGTCCACCATCTTATAAAATAAAAATCGGTCAACAATAAATTTCTTAGTCCGGGGTATCTTCAGTCTTATATTTTCAACCCAAGGACTCCCACAACTTCTTAGCAGTTTCCATCGTACTATACATGTTGCATAGTGAATATGCCAAGCCATTCATGATATGATTACAGTACAAGAAATCAGAGTGCTTCCAAGCATCAAGTACGCTAATAGCTTGCACATCTCCTTCACCCTCATTCAGTTTCAGAACAGTTTCAGTCAATAACTTTGCAAGTTTCAAGGGGTTAGGTAAAATAATATTTTTGCCACATTTTGAAATACAAATTATTGAATTTATCCGATTTTTCACCATGGTTAGCCGAAATAGTTACAATAAGGCCAGTTGTTTGAGACATGACTCATAGTATGATTTGGAAATTTAGCCACAGTTTGAGTCCAGGGAAGACTTTGCCCTTTAGCCATAGTTTGATTTTCGGCAGCCACAGTTTGAATCAAATCCATGTTAGTTGCTTCTGTTGCTATTTAAAAAAATGAAACTAATATTAGTTCTTAACGAAACAAAATGAACAACCTTTTTGTTCTTTTATCAAAACTGTTTTAAGTTTGTTGTCCGAAATAACTTGCAGAATTGTATATATGAATAATAGAATTGATGACGAATGTTGAGAATATAGAAGTTAAATTAACAATCGGAATTACCACTTTTTTCGAATACAAATTTGTGCATGCGTACCGAAATGTTGTTTCTCAAAAATACTATAGTATTTTGTGTGCCAGTAATCACGTAGTTGTTCCCATGGTAAATCTTCCTCTGATGGTTCATCAATTTCGGTTGCAATTTTATCCTGCTTGTCTGGGAGGTCTATCTCCACTTCATCATCGCTAACATGTTCTGCTCTATGGAACGCTTCATCGACATTGCCATTTCGCTTAAGAAAATTGAGCACTGTCATTGTTTGAGCACGAAAAGAGTAGCTTCGCATGCGATCTAGAATTTTCTAATGTTGTTTTAATACCTCGAATGACCTCTTAGTTACGTTCCTACAGGACGAGTCATAAAAATTGAAACGTTCTCATGCATTGCAAAATCTTCGTTGTTGATAATATCACATTTGTTACGTTTTTCACCCATTAATATTTGCGTTTCTAAGATTATTTGACGCCTAAATGCACTAAATACTTCTATATCTTGGTTTAGGTTGCAAATTGGTGAAAACAGTGGAAAATTGAAGAAAAGAGCAAAAATGGACCAAAATGGAAGAAAGTAAAAGCTCAGGGACTAAAGGGGAAATAATTTAAACTTGTTTCTAACCTTGTGATGAAGATTTGAGAGTGTTAGAGGTCAATTGGATGAAGGAAGAAGTCAAAGAGATGAAACATAGCCAACACATTATCATATATCAACTTTCAAGCTGAAAAGTTTTGCACTAGTTTTCAGCCTCATATTGAGACTAGTTTTTTGACATGGAAAACGATCAAATTCGAAGATGGTATCTGAAGTAAAGTTGTAGCCCTTTGAGTTATCTTTCCAATTCACCTTGTATCGCCTCAATCGGACATACGGAGAGAAAGTTATGATGAAAATAATGAAAAGGATGTAGAATTCGAAATAGCAATGCATCGACCAGGCCCCTGCAGCACCCAGGCGATGCACAGACTAAAAAGAACAGATTTTCAGCACCTAGGTGCTGCTCCTATGGAGCCTAGGTACCGCACCATGTAAACTTAGGTTTTTTTTTTAATGTTTGGACCGCAAGAAACCTAGAAAGACCCTAAAAACATTCCAAAACTCCTCATTCCTCATCATTCTTCATTCTACACCATTCTATCATCACTTTTAGCTCAAGAACTTCATGAAGAACTAATAAACATTGGTGAAACTACGAAGGAACTCAATTAGAATTGGAGATTTCAACATCTTTTACTCATGTAATGTGGTTTTCATTGTTTAAACAATTCTAGGGTTTATATTTCCTTACTTTGAAGTAGTTTTGAGTTTGACTTAACTTTTATTAAGTTTTTCATGGATTTAATCAAGTTTCTTCCATTGAACAATTAAAATATTTGTTTGAGTTTAAATTTCAGATACTTTATTGGTGTGATTTAATTACTGCTATATGTTAGAAATATATGGTCGCTTTTTGAATCTGATTTCAATAAATTAATGTAGGAATGAGATTTAGGGCTTAAATTCTAGAATTACATGTGGAATTAAATTGGTTTGTATTGCTAAATCCTCTGATTAGAGAGTTAGGATAAAAAATTCTAATTGAGTAGAAAATACATGAATTATTGATGTTGATTGATCCAATTCAGTTGAGGGAATTCCGACACTTCGCTATTTTACACATTGACTTAAATTCCATCATTATATCCGATGTCATTTACATTTTAATTCAATAAACAAATTCTTTTCATCCAAATCACAAGAACCCTAAGTTATTGAACTCTTTTAAACATTTTTTTATCTCCCTGTGGATACGACATCCTAAAACTACACTACAACTATCGCGTTATTCTTTGGGCGTAATCAGTTGTCATCTTATCGCTCCATACGAAACTCTTAAAATTGGTATTGGATGTCTGAACCTTTGTATTAAGTCATATAACTCGATCTATGCACAAATCCAAAGTCTCGAGATAGCACTTTCCAGGAATGGGAGTGGGAAAATTAATATCCAAATTATGTATCGCTTTTACCAAAATGCGACTATCATGCGTGTTTCTTGTGGTCCAGGGCAGCACAAACGTGAAGCACAAGTTGAAATCCCAGGTAGCAAGCACGTTCTATATCAGAATTTTTTTTTGTCCTCTAAAGTTCTCACGTTTGTGACGTGGTAGAAGCCGCCTCACGTGCGTTTCGTCAATAGATCTAATGCAATCTTGATCACGTCAAACATTT